ATGTTCTTTTGTTTGTTTCCAGCAAGTGTTAAATTCCCATACAAGTGTGTGGGAGTACAACACCCGTTTGAGCATATCAAATGCATCTGTCAATTAATTCTAAATGATCTCTAAAGTGTCTTTCACACTGATAGGCACTTGGATCCAAAGCCCATCATCACAAACCTGTAAATCGGTTACATACATTTGCACATTTCTTGTTTTGATGCACCTGAAGTGTATTAAGACTGCTTCCATACAAAGAGCAAAGGTCTTTCTCTCCAACATGCTGACAGGGAACAGGCTTCTTCTACTTAGGCTGTTGCTGGTTTCTAAAGAATCAAAACGTTGAATACATTTAGGTACATCCAAGTGTACAAAGTCTTCCTTTTAGAGTTTAGAGTGCAGCAACAGCCCAAGTAGAAAAGCCTGTCCTCTGTCAGCAGAGAGCGGGACCTTTTATTATTTTTGTGAAAGTAGAATATGAGAACTCTGCTTCTACAGAGAGTAAGGGTCCTTCATGGGGCATGCTGGCAGGGGATAGTCTTTTCTGCTCAGGCTGTGGCGGTTTTCTGGGGAAAACAAAGTGGAAGACTGCACACATTTTGTTTTGATGCAGCTTGGATGTATTTAAAGTTACAAAATAGTCTTCAATGTGACTCGAGTTAGTGTAAGTTCAGTCATTCTTTATCATCACTTGGTTGAACCTTTGGCAGCTAATACAACTGGAATGGTTTTTATAGTCTCTGCCAGTGTTGCACAACTGCATTCTACATTTCCTTTCCCTTCTTTCCTTGGCAAAATTACTTTGGCTTTGTCAGGTTGGATGAGGTCTGTTGATGAAGAGAAATTTGAAAGTCTTGCAGCAGATTCATCACTGGATTAACAGTTTTTAATTGGCTATTTTAAAACATTCAGATTCTTGGTTTTACACCACTCCAGTGCAGATTTGGCTCTGCATTTTCAAAGTGATATGTTTTCCTCTAGACTTTACCTATATTTTCTTCACACCTGACCAGTTCCCCAGTCCCAGCCAATGAAGAGCATCCCCATCTCAGGTTGACGACCAGTGATGGCTTTCCAGCGCACAGCATTCTATGTTAAGTACAAACATTTCTACATTCTAAATGAACTACCTCTCTGCCTTTGGTAAACTCCTAGCAGGTGTTCAGATTTATTTTTTTTTTTTTATCAGCAAGGGCTTTCTTCTCATTATCCCATAAAGGCTAGCTTTGTGGAGTGTCCACTTTAAGCAGGCCATACATTATACAGAAGGTGGAGAAAATTATGAAAACGCCACGTAAAATAACTAAATAGTTATCTAATATGGTTTTGGACCACCTTTGGCACCAAAGATGGTCTGAATTCTCCTGGGAATTGACAAATATAAATCTAGGATGGTGGATAATGGAATCTGGCACCACTCTTCAAGCAAAAATCGCTCCAGTTCCCACAGAGATGCTAGAAGGGAAAAATGAAACCAAACCTTGTTCACCAAAACTGAACATAGCAGCTCTATGATACTGAGTCCTGTGACTGACACCGAGGAAAAGGTGCGAGACCTCATCTGCATGCTTGTCAACCCACAATTTGACAACACCAGCTTTGTGAATTGGAGCATTATCATCTTGGTAATGGAGATGTCTTTGGAAAATAAATGTCAGCATCATGGGGTGCACATGGTCGCCAAAATATGTACATAGTTTCTGGAAATGACTACATTTCAAGTTGATGGTGGTCCTGCAGAATACTAAGCTATGGCTCCCCAAACCACAACACCATGCTTTAATATTGACACAAGACAGTATTGGTTGTAAGCTTGGGGCAGTGTTTGCCACATGTAAAACACGTCTGGTGGTTAGGAACAATGTGAAGCTTGATTCATGGGACCATATTACAGTCTTCCATTAACTGAGTGTTCAGGACTCATGGATGTTGCACCACTCTCTCCTCTTCTGAGCATTAATATCAGTCACTGGTGGTTTGGCAATTGCAGCTCACCTGTGAATGCTTTGCTTCTGGAGTTCCCTCTGCACAGTTTTTGTGGACACGGGCTTTAGAAGACAGAGACTGAGCTCTGCGGTCACTTTTGCAGCAGTTGTTTTCTTATCCCAGCGTCATAATCTTTGCTACTGCACCTCGCAACACCACAAATAAATTGGCAACTTTAATCACAGAGGCACCAGCTAAGCGGGCACCAATAATTTGCCCTCTTTGAAGCTCAGTAAGCTCTGACATGACTCCATATTACTAGCAGCACACAGTGAATGACAAAACTGAGGCCTCACACCTGTTAGCTAGGTGTCTCATCACTCAGTGGAAGCAACAGAATGTTACATAACTTCTGCTTTCAACATGAAACATGTCATTTTCACACCTGCAAACCATGTTGTGTTTCCATTTTTTGTCTAACCTCTGTATGCGAGTTCATCACGGTCTCCTTTTTATACATGGTGATTTAACCTCCCTGGAGGTATTCCCAAGTGTAGCTTGGGGTAAAGTTTCAGCACCACAAGCGGTAACCCCGAGCTACACTCGGGAATACCCTGCAGCGCTGCTCCGGGATCTGTTCTTCTCTTACCTTGTCCTGCGCTCCCGCGATGTCCCTCCTGCAGTGTCCCCTGTAATGTCCTCCGGCCGATGCCGGCATCTGTATTCCGGGTTCCGTTCCCTGCGACGTCGGGACGTAATGTCGAGAAATTTAATAATGTCAAAAAGTGACATTCACTAAATACATTAAAATCACATAGTAAAATATTACTGTATCATTTCAGCTTTCTTTCGGTGGTATTTAATTGCCTGTGCGTTTTTTATTTTTTGCGCTATAAAAAAAAAAAAAAAAAAAAAAAAAAAAAAAAAAAAAAAGGCTGACAATTTTGAGAACAAAAAAAAAAAACAATATTTTGGACTTTTTGCTATAAAACATGTCCAGTAAAAAAAATTTAAAATTCAAATTTCGTCATAAATTTCGTCCAAAATGCATTCTACGACATGTCTTTGCTAAAAAAAAAAAAAACCAATACATGTAAATTAATTGGTTTACGTGAAAGTTATAGCGTTTTTACAAATGGCGGGAAAGATACTGGGATTTTTAATTTTTTTTATACTAATAATGGCAGCGATCAGTGACTTATGGCGGCGATCGGCGACTTATGACGGGACTGTGGCAGACATTCTGACACTGGGGGGGAACTGACTTGGGGTCACTGACATCATCAGTGACACCAATACAGTGATCAGTGCAAAAAAAAAAAAAAAAAAAAAAAAAAAAAACCACTGACACTGTACTAATGGCACTGGGGAGGAAGGGGTTAACTTTATTTACTAAAAGGGTTAACTGTGTGAGGGGAGTGTTTTACTAGGGGGCGGGGTGTACTGCACTGGGACACGCTGATCGGGAGAGATAAACTCTTCTCTCCGGCTCAGCATGTCAGGAGCTGACAGGGAACTGACAGAAAGCAGAGCTACTGCAGCCCTGCTCTCTGTCAGTGATTGCCGCTAATCGGCGGGACACAGCCGGTAACAACCGGCTGTGACCCAGCGACTGGCATCCGAGGCCGTGATCGGCGGGACAGGTAGGGCGGTGGCGCGCCTCCTACCTGTTTTGCAAACACACGTTTTAAAATGTGGTTTTGCCCAGCCATCCCGCCCTGCCGCCGTATTTCTACAGTGGCTGGGCAGCATGTGGTTAAAGAAATAAACCCTGTGAAGCACTCATCTGTTTGCTCCTAGCTTTCTGGTATTGAAAGCTGTTGCAGTAGGAACCTGATGCCACAAAAAAAAACAAAAACAAAACCAAAAAAAAACACACCACACAACAAACAATAAAAAGGTCTCTATGTGCAATTACATTCAAACAGACCTACTTAAAATGGGCTAATAAAAACAAAATGATGGCATCAGAGATGGTAAATGAAACTGGAGTCTACTTTTAGGGTTCATGCACACTGGACCTAACCAAAAAAAAAAAAAAAAAAAAAAAAAAAAAAAAAAACACACACCAGTTCTTGTGGCAGAAAAAAAACCACTCAAATATAGAACATTTTTGTACAGGTGCTTAAGAGCGTTTGTGTTTTTTGAGAGGAGTTTTCTGGCAAGAAAAAAAAAAAAAAAAAAAAAAGATAAACCAGAAGGGGTTTTTTCTGCCTCTAAATGCGGAGCTTAAAATATGCCTCTAAACGTCCTAATGTGCATGGACACAAAGGATGACCTTGAGCTGTTTCTCAGCAAAACAAAATTCCTCTAGAAGCAGCATTTTTTTTTAAACCCAGTGTGAATGGACCCTTAAAATGAAAAAGAAAAAAAAAAAAAAAGCCTCCGATCTAAACATATTATATATTAAATCACAAAATAAAAAAAAATAAAACATAAAGAGGAGGAGACCCAATTGTTTAATGATGGAGTAGCAAGCACAACAGATGACACTTCCAAAGATCTGGAAAGAACATTAACCTTATATACTCCAACATTTACAGTAATACTGATATGTGTCAGTAATGGGTCTATAAAGGTGATGATGCCTATTATCATACACAAAATCCTTTGCGTAAAACATGAAAGGAAACTAACAAAGTGCTGAAGAGACATTACAAGGCATATTGTGGGAGCAGAGGTTTGCTTGTAGAGAAACGAAAGCATTTAACTCCATCAGCACTGAAGAAAAACAGAAAAAAAAATATATATATATATATAATCAAGCCAATCACCTGCTGTCCCATATAAAAAAATAAAGCCACAAAAAAAAAATATTAATGAAATAAGTTTGGTGCTTTTCTTCTTTTGCTGGCAAGCAGTTGTGGTGGACAGTTCATAAAGCGAAAATTGATGTAAACAAGACAAAAAGAGTCCACAGCAATTTCATCTCTGATTAAGACCGAACAATGTATTGCCTTTGTCATGAATGGCTGGCCTTTCCGGCAGTGAATGGGTCAGTGTTGTAATTATAGCATACACAGAATACTGTTTGAAGGTGGGAGTGATGGATTTTAACATAGGATAAGGTCAGCACAGGTCAGAACATCTCACAAAGCAATTTTCGTGTTTCGGAAACTTGTTTTGTCCCTGCAATGAGAAGACAGTCAATGAAAAGAAAGTAAGCAACTCACAAAAATAAAATGCAAAGCTATCGGATCACGAAAATATCAGGACTTTAAGAAAATTAAACTCTCTCATGGCTTCTATTAGTTGTCATGGATATCAAAAACACCCACAACAGTCTTATACCTCTTGTTAGAAGTTAGAAGAATCACCTCATTGGAATTAGTGGGAGGAATAGTGCCCCATCATTGGTAGAAATAGTGGCCCACTGCTGGTGTCAACTAAAGGAATGGTGTCTTATTGTTGGTGTCAGTGGGAGAAAGTGTGCCTTGTATCAATAGGAGGAATAGTGCTTGAAGGGCCAGATAAAAAGGCAGGCAATGGGCCACATTTGGCCCACAGGCTGCAGTTTGGAGAACCCTGCTCTAGGGGAATAATGTGCAGTGCATGCATAATATTGCTGATCTAAATTTTTGATGTACTACTATTACACCTCAACAAGAATGCAACATACTACACATGGAACACAAAGTGTGAAAAAAAAAAAAAAAAGTAAAAGACATCTGAGGGTGATGAAGGAGAGAACATGAAGCCAGAAGGACTATGACTGTTTGCTAAACAGGAATCTAGTTAAGAGGATGATTACTGCTTTAACAATTACAGGGAAGCACCTAAAGTGTTTACTGTAACACAATTAATGGTGATCAGCTGAAGCTGCTCTAGTCTATGCTAGATCAAATAACAAAATACCTCCAGACAAAACAGAAGTGTTTAACAAGCTACATTCTCCGGACTTTGGATTCCAGCTGTGTACAGACATGAAAAATCATGTAATTTTATTTTTTTTTTTATCAAATCATTTTTACTGAGAGTTTGACAAGGTTCAAAAACCATGTATTTTTATTAAATGATATCTAATGTGTTCTTTACTGGTGATCTCATCTAAAAATGACATCTTCCCAGATTAAAAAATTACCAGATTTGGATATAGAAAATGAAGGGTAGAAAGGACAAAGTTTGTTGAGGAATAAAAATTCCTATGCAATTTGAGTAAATATGCAGAATGATTTTTTTTTTTTTTTTTTTTTTTTTAATAAGAACAGGTGAGGTAGGTTTATACATACTTGATACTGTCCGTGTGCGTTTTATATTCCATGACTGTGTTAGGAGGCAGATTCAGGACTCTTCTTAAGGTGTCTCGGATCCGAGCAGTTGTTGCTTGGTCACTAGCCGTTTTTTATTCCAGATAGAAATGATATCTTCCTAAAATATAGATGTAGTTAAAAGCTTTACAATACAGTAAAACAAAAATGTATAAGCACCCATGTTTTTTATTCAAGCATCCAAAACAGAACAACTAATCTAGATTTAACAGAACAGGCACCAAATAAAAATGACATTCTCCAAAATATGGACAGACATACAGGCACTTAAAGAACACCTGGTTATGAGATAAAAGCACAGGCCGCCATTGCTGATCTCCGTCTGAAGATGCTCCTTGCCCAACTGCCCTGACTTTAATGTTTTATGAGTAAATGGAATCTAAACAAGCATGTGGATAAAGGAAGTTAGAAGTCCTGCAAGCTTTTTCTAGGTCAGGAAAATCATAGTTACAGGATCTGCTTGACAGCTGGGCAAATAGCATTTTCAGAAGGTCAGCAGTGACAGATCTCATATTTCTCTCATTACATGTTTCTTTTAGGCACAAAGCTATCAGCATTGAGCATTATGTTTTCCTTGCAGAAACTGCAAAATGGGCCTTAAAGCAAACCTGTGGCTGTCAGGACAACACACTATCACTGCCAGCTGGCGTTCCCTGGTGTCTCTCCACTTCAATGTAAAACATTGCACTAACGAAATTAAAACTACATCTGTGTTCAGACACAAAAACGGCAACCTACACTATTCATGCTACTGGTGGTCAGAATGATCACAGGTTCACTTTACCTCTCTATACTCCAACAACACAATGCATTATTTAAAATTCTGACCTGGGTCTATTGCTCTCCTCCAACCGTGTTTATCTACTCATAATGGCACTATATGTCCATCCAAGTATGATATAAACAAGTAAGTGTATGGCATTTTTCAGAGCAAGGCTGGATTCACATATGTGCAGTCCAGTTTTGAAGGTCCGTTTTCACAGCCAATTTCAAAAGCAGTTGCTCAGAAAAGCACTGCTCAGAAAACTGACAGGACTTTTTTTTTTAATTTGCACTGAATCAGCACTCACATATTGGAACAGGAACTTTAGATAACAATGTTATTTAACATGTCGTGCCATTTGGATGAGGTTCGATTCCCAACCATGGTGCCTCCTGCATGGAGTTTGCATGTTCTCCCTGTGTTCGTGTGGGTTTCCTCTGGGTGCTCCAGTTTCCTCACACACTCCAAAGACATGCTGGTAGGTTAATTGGCTCATGTCTAAATTGTCCTAGTTTCATCCCTGGCCATGCGGGATCTCCTGCATGGTAGGGGTTGGGGAAAGATCTGGCAACCTACCCTGTAAAATAATTGCTAGAGAATTCATGGAAAAAGGCGCTTACGAGTGACAGTCCATGCAATCGCCAAGGGTTGGATACGACTGAATGGATAGATAGAGAGAGATAGTAGAGTGCAAAGGGTCAATTCAGGATTTTCAGTGCTATGAAATTCTGTGGCAATAATGGCAAGACTATAGATGCTGAGAAAAGCAAGATGCGCATTAAGCTTTATTTCCAGTAGACTTCTCACCTGAAAGCGTACAGAGACCACAGCTCCACAGATCTCCTCCCCGACCATGAACTGCTCTCCTAGCATGGCTAAGATAAGATTCTCCCAGCACCGAGATGCTAGACCTTTACGTAGGCGGATTATCCACTTTCCTCCATTCTTGTTTGCATCATCCTACAGAGAGCAAAGAACAAAGCCATGAAACAGGAAGCTTTTGAAAAAGGTATAATTAATAAAATTAACCTCGCTAATGATTACACACTTGGGGAAACTACTGTTATTTGACAAGGAATTTTTCCAGCATTGTTGAAGAAATTGTAATACTGCCTAGAAAAACTTTATGTAAACAAATTATTTGTGAGGTTATGAAATCTTTTTGTAATTAAAAAAAGTCAGCAAGAAAAGAAGATTATTAGGACAGGGCTCAAAATTTCCACTCTTCTGCTAGCATTTGGCGAGTGGAAATAAAGTGGGGGCGAGTGTGTCCAAGACACATTGCACAGGTGGAGGAATACTCTATCCCCCAAGTCAGCGGGATCTCTGCAGACTGTCCCCTCCACACAATTAAAAGTGGCCAGATCCTCCGGTTCCCTCCCCAAATGCCTGGAAGAGCAGAGCTCAGGGGATACATGATGTACTCCGGACTGTCAGTCTCCCCAGGACCCTCGATCATCCTCCTCCCCCTGGCCCTGTGCGTGTCCACTTTGTGTGTCGGGGCTGAGCCTGGAGTGGAGCCTGGTGTGGGGTCCCAGGCTGGATGCCTCCATTAGACTCCCGTCAGATACTTCTACATGCAGGCAGTGGACAGTACAGGATTGCTGCTCACCTTCTCCCCAGGTAACAGTGGCATCGCTACAGGGGGGTAATAGCCTCCCTAGGTTAATCCTTGCTCCCCATGTGCTCCCTCCCACCAGTAGCACAAGGATTATAATTTTTCCTCAGCTTGTCGTGAGCATGCTGCATGGAAACAAATGAAGATCATCAGAAGCACTGTCACATGTAATCCTGGCTGGCAGCACTGTCTTCAAGAAACCTACAGGTGAAACTCAAAAAATTAGAATATCGTGCAAAAGTTCATTTATTTCAGTAATGCAACTTAAAAGGTGAAACTAATATATGAGATAGACTCATTACATGCAAAGCAAGATAGTTCAAGCCGTGATTTGTCAGAATTGTGATGATTATGGCTTACAGCTCATGAAAACCCCAAATCCACAATCTCAGAAAATTAGAATTACATGCAATCAATAAAACAAGGATTGTACATAGAACAATATCGGACCTCTGAAAAGTATAAGCATGCATAGGTACTCAGTACTTGGTTTGGGCCCCTTTTGCAGCAATTACTGCCTCAATGCGGCGTGGCATGGAAGATAGCCTGTGGCACTGCTGAGGTGCTATGGAAGACCAGGATGCTTCAATAGCGGCCTTCAGCTCTTCTGCATTGTTCGGTCTCATGTTTCTCATCTTTCTCTTGGCAATGCCCCATAGATTCTCTATGGGGTTCAGGTCAGGCGAGTTTGCTGGCCAATCAAGCACAGTAATCCCACGGTCATTGAACCAGGTTTTGGTGCTTTTGACAGTGTGGGCAGGTGCAAAGTCCTGCTGCAAAAATGAAGTCAGCATCCCCATAAAGCTTGTCTGTGGAAGGAAGCATGAAGTGCTCCAAAATCTCCTGGTAGAGGGCTGCGTTGGCCCTGGACTTAATGAAGCACAGTGGACCAACACCAGCAGATGACATGGCTCCCCAAATCAACACAGACTGTGGAAACTTCACACTGGACTTCAAGCATCTTGCAGTGTGTGCCTCCCCATTCTTCCTCCATACTCTGGGTCCTTGGTTTCCAAATGAGATGCAAAAGTTGCTCTCATCAGAAAAGAGGACTTTGGACCACCGAGCAACAGACCAGGTCTGTTTTTCTTTAGCCCAGGTAAGACGCTTCTGACGTTGTTTGTTCAGAAGCGGCTTGACAAGAGGAATACGACATTTGAAGCCCATGTCTGTCTGTGTTTTGGTGGCTCTTGATGCACTGACTCCAGCCTCAGTCCACTCCTTGTGAAAGTCCCCAACACTTTTGAATGGCCTTTTCCTGACAATCCTCTCCAGGCTGCAGTCATCCCTGCTGCTTGTACACCTTTTTCTTCCACAATTTTCCCTTCCACATAACTTTCTATTAATATGCTTTGATACAGCACTTTGGGAACATCCAACCTCTTTTGCAATTACCTTTTGAGGCTTTCCCTCCTTATGGAGGGTGTCAGTGATGGTTTTCTGCACAACTGTCAGGTCAGCAGTCTTTCCCATGATTGTGATTCCTACTGAACCAGACTGAGAGACCATTTAAAGGCTCAGGAACCCTTTGCAGGTGTTATGGCTTAATTAGCTGATTAGAGTGGGACACTTTGAGCCTAGAATATTGCACCTTTCCACAATATTCCCATTTTCTGAGATTGTGGATTTGGGGTTTTCATGAGCTGCAAGCCATAATCATCACACTTATGACAAATCACGGCTTGAACTATCTTGCTTTGCATGTAATGAGTCTATCTCATATATATTAGTTTCACCTTTTAAGTTGCACTACTGAAATAAATGAACTTTTGCAAAATATTCTAATTTTTTGAGTTTCACCTGTATGTGTTCATGCAGCGTGCAGGTTAGATAATATACATACGATCAGGTAACACCTCCACTTCACCTTTTCTCACTTGTGACTTTTTTTTTTTTTTTTTTAATACCTGCCTAACCCAAGCTGCACACTGCCTGAACACACTGATAAGATCTCTTGCAGAGGCTGCAGCCAGCTGGTATTCCATGTTCACCGGTGACCAGTGACACATGGCTGGCAACAATCTCCAGTTGTTTCTACTCAGCTATTTAGATAGAGCTCTGTATGTGCTGCAAGATTTGTTTGAGATTGCCTTTGGAGGGTTTACTGCTGGTTCAGATTAGCAGCTTCACTGACTTATTAACAGTTTACTGCCCTCCACTAATCTTGAGCTATAAGACTATTAACTATAAGACAATTTTTATTTTGGAAATCGGATGTGCTACTGCCTTCTGACACTTGGTTGTACTTTCACAGGAGGATTATTGACTTGACCTTGCAGAGCTGGTTTAGGTAGAGTGGAGCAGCCCTGCAACACTATACAATTTTGCACTGGGTTCAGGCTTAAATTTAGTCCCGGACCGTCTCCTGTAGCGCGTCTGCAGTTCTGGACCGTCTCCTGTATGTCTGACTGTTTAGGGGTTGTGTGGGGCAAACTGGTGGCGAGTAACTCTTAAGGCCTGGCTAGTAGCTCAGGACTTGAAATTTTGAGCCCTTTATTAGGATATTTAAAAAAAGATGTAAAGTCTGGTGGAAGTGGTAAATATGCAAGACTGTGTTTCCTGTTGTAATGCTATGCTACGTCGCCAAGCAATTTTTTTGTTAGTCTTGCACTTTTAAGTCACATGCAAACTGGGCATCTAGCTTGTGTATGTCAACTTCCAGGCATTTTTCTGCACCCACCAGCTCTGCTGCCTGCAGTCTATAAAAGTCTATGAAAAGCTCAAATATGTTGCAGCTGGATACCGTACCGAATAGTACTTACATTCAGCGTCCTATCTGTTCAGGGATGTGTCCCCATGGGCTCCACTTGGTATAGCGTTCAGCTGTGGCATATTTTAGTCCGTTAAAGACGGATAAGATGCAGGCAGCAGGGCTTGATGCTGCATCCTGTGCCTCCTGGGTGCACGAACATGCGTGGACTTGACACAACAGGCTACACACCCAGTGTATGTGTGGCCTTACAATCCATATTTCAATGCTATTGATATAATTCATAATAATAAACAAGCATCAAAAGTGAAGCTCAACCAAACCTTTTTTTTATGATTTTCGAATAGGAGTATGAAAGTGTTAGAACCATTGACAAGTTTTCATTACAGTCCGTGAGCCAACTATAAAAATTTTACATCACTTTGAGTCTGTGTCAATCGGTTCAATGCAGATTTTGTGCCCTTCAGAGAGATTGCAGAATATGTAAAGCTGGCCACAGATTCAGCAGGGACCGAATTTCAATCTAGCTGTGGCCGTTACCATTAATCATTTAATCTAATGATTAAATCCTCTCAAACAAGACTGTTGGTAAATTGTCATTCGATCAGCACTTGCAACCAATTGGCTGCAACGCTGATCAGTGTATTCTAACCAAGGACTCCCATTTTCCAGAATACAAAAGCACAGTGAGGATTTTGATGGCTAATAAAAAAAAAACAAAAAAAAAAAAAAAAACAACACTACACGATCTATGGACGGGCAGCACTACAGGACCAGTTGATCTGCTTCAGCATTCTCACAAATTTGTATGTTGAGAGAAGCAGTTCTTGAACCCAACAAAAGCCCATACACACAGGTACTTCCTGTTCCTGAAGGTGAAGTACACCTTGCCAGCAGGGACACAGACAGTATTTAGAAACATGACAGAGGTTTGTTCAAGCAAAAACACAAAAATGAATATAAAAACCAACAAAAGTTCTGACATTCCTCACTCTATCTGAAATTAAAACTAACTTTAGCTGGAGTTCCACTTTATTATTAGTGCATAATAGATTCCCCAGATTATCATCATGTAATATCTCACCTCCCACATTGGCTTGATCCCTTCCTTAAAGAGGTGAAAGTCACTGTGCCCCGTCAGTTCCCCAGGACGTACCATGTGACTGTAGAACCTCCAAAACTGCTCCACCTATGATGGGAAATGCAGCAGAATGTCAACAAATCCAGGTTTTACTAAAAACTTTTCATTCATTTTATGTTGTAATTCTGGAATCAAATGTAAACCAAAACACACATGACAAATGGAAAAAAAAAAAAAAAACATTCTCAAGATAACCTTTTTTATTAATATTATTATTAGGTTTCTTTTTACCCTCTAACAACTATTGGTTATAAATTCAAATTTTGCATGATTATTATTTGAGAGCCATTTATTGCTCATGAACACCAATTACATCACAGATGCAAGGACATCTCCACATACTGATGTCTGCTTGTGATTTAAAATTAATTTACACAGTTTAGGAAAGTTAACTAGAAGAGGGTCACAGAAAGACATTGCAAGATGAATGACTGAAAATCCTTTTCAGGGCTTGTTCTCATGCGTGGCAGTCCTTGAAGCCCCTATGAAGAGCGATCTGCGGTGGGTAACTTTTTAGAGGGCTTTTGACAGGCGGTGTAAAGAGACGATGTTGTCTCCTCACCGCCAATTTTAACCATGAAAATGCCAACCCTCATCAGAACCATGAGCATTGGGCAAGGTTGTACTGCGGCCCCATTTGTTTGAATGGACCATGTTCAGCAGTGGCACTGCCCACCAAGTGCGAGAAAGGGTTTAATTTTTACCATTGTGTGGGCAAAAAGTCATTCAACTGCCTGCCTGCAGGCAATCTGGTATTAACTAATGCTGGCTGGGGGTTCACTAACTGAGATCAATAGTGACACTAATACAGCAATCAGTGCTAATACTGTACACCGTCACTGTACTAATGGCACTTGATGGAAAGGGGTTAACCTCAAGGGGCAATCAAAGGGTTATTTTTGTGCGTAACAAGTCTAATGTACATGATATGTGCTGCTTTTACTAAGAGATTTGGCTGTTTTTCCATTCTGATTTACAGGTAGAAAAAACAGCCAGATCATTGCTCTGTGCACAGAGCCCTGTGTTGTTTGTAAACACAGGGCTCTGTGCTGTGATTGAACACAGCCAATCAGCAGGTCTCAGCCAATCATTGGTCGGGTCAGCAGACCTGGAAGCAGGCTTGCAACACCTATTTACATTGCTGAGCCTTCAGCTTCTACCTGGTCACAGCAAGTCTACTGTGACTGGGTAGCCAGTGGTTAAAAGGACAAGTTCCCATTTGGAACATGTTACATGTTCCAGCTCCTGCATGTTCTCCCCCTGATCGCCCCCCACTGACAATGGGCCGGGGATCTTTTCCCCGCACCTGCTGTCACAATTTAAAAACAGCGTGGCTGTGCCGAGCTGTACACAACACACAAGGTCACATTATTCATTCACAGTTCTGTGAATTAATGAACTACATGCACCATCAGCCACCACAGCTGAAGGCTTGTAGTTCTCAATGAACCGACGCTGGTGAGTGCTCTCACAGTCCATGGATTCTTCCTGCCATTCAGTAACTGCCTGCCCATACGGGAGGTATGGGCAGACAGTATACTGAGAGTCTGCAGGATCCTGGCATTGAACCCACGATCTGCTGATTGCAGGTGCAATGCATTACAGGCTGCAATGTAAAAAAATAAATGTAAATTTTCTTTACTTGCAAAATGTGCATTTTTATGTATTTATTTATTTTTACAAAAGGTGAAGTTAGCCTTTAAACGAAAAAAACACAATGTAACACACACTATGGCATTGCAGTGTAAGTCAAATTAACAAGTGTTATGGTGGGAAAAAAAGCTTGGTCCCACATGGACCCCAGATCTCACAGATCAATCATACATAAAGTAAGCACAAATAAAACCAGCATGCACTCACAGAGGCAAAGGTACCAATTTGCTTGATGTTCTGTTCATAGCTCTGAGAGCTGGTTGGTCTACCTGGTGTCCTGCGAGAATACCAGAATGTGTAGTTGTATTGCAAAGGGTGCTCTGCTGGACCTGGCACTACGGTCTACAAAACAAAGAGTGAAACAAATATAAAAGTTTGCTATCTCCAAAGCATAGGTTTTATGTTATTAAGCCTAGCATATTACCATCTACCACAGTATTACAGTCAACCTGATAACACCACTTGTACCTGCTACAGTTTTATGTCCAATGTCTTCTGCCTTGTGGTACTAGGGTTCTTGGTTTGAATCCCAACTAGGGTACTACTGTATTAAATTTCCAAGTTCTCCCTGTGCTTGCACAGGTTTCCTCCGGGTGCGCCGGTTTCCTGTCACATTCCAAAGATATGCTGATATTTTAATTAAGTCCAGTCTAAATTGCCCTAGTATGTTTATGTATGCATGCAACGTAGGAACCTTAGACTGCAAGTTTGAGGGCATGGAATGATGTAAATATACAATATGTAAAGCATTACATAAATTGTTGGCGAAATAACTGTAATAAATAAAAAAATAAAAATAAAACTATGGCCTCTCATTAGAAATTATGTGCTGCAGCACTTAATCATAGCGCTTACAGTTTTCTTTTAATCCCCCTGCAAAATCCTACAGATACCCGTTTATACTACCAATGTCCACCTAACGCAGTTTCCTGTGATGGTAATGATGCTGCACGGCTCTTGATTTCAGAGCAGAGCTGCCACTCCTATGTAGGCTGTGCCTGCTTGCCCTAAAGTGGGATGAAAAAAAATAATGCTTTCTGCATTGTCTCTGCTGATTCACAAGCTACAGCACACAGGAGTGTGAGTGTATACTTGTCAAACGGAAAGTACTTGAGTACAAGAGTTGCTGTTTCACACAATTTTAAGACTCAACGTAAGCTCATCTTTTAGATTTTACCAGAAAAAAAAAATAAAAAGACTGAATATGTGCCCTAAAGTTTACTTAAGGGCATTTACTGAACAGAAACATTTGGTAAACAGTTGTGCTAATATTGTAAATTTGCAACTACCATAGTTTTATTCTCCAGGATATCGGCTTTCAGAAAATATATAAATAACTTGCAGCATTAAGGATACAGGGAAAAAAAGAAGATGGCACTGACTACACTATTAAATTACTATTAAAAGGAGTTCTATAGTGAATTTTGTGACATAGCAGTGCCTAAACACAAGGCACAGTGAAAACATGTCAAAGAATTCTCAAAGTAACTTCAAGATTAACCACTTCCCTCCTGAGGATTTACCCCCTTTTCTGACCAGGTCATTTGTTTGCGTTACGGCGCTGCGTTAATTTAACTGACAATTGTTCAGTCATGGAATTTTTTTTTTGTACATTTTCACTATTAATGGCGGCGATCAGCGACATATAGCAGGACTGCGGTGGGCATTCTGACACTGGGGGAGGGAACTGACTTGGTGTCATGAACATCTCCAGCAACACCAATAAAGTGCTCAGTGCTGAAAAAAAACCAAAAAAACAAAACACTGACACTGTATTAATGGCACTGGGCAAGAATGGGTTCACATGAGGGGAGATCAAAGGGTTAACTGCGTGCGTTTTACTAAGGGGTCGTCTGTTTGTGCTTCACTGTAAGCACACTGCAGAGTGCACGAGCTGACAGGGAGGAGAACTGTTTTGTTTACAAACAGTTCTCCTCCCCGTTGGAGATCCTCAGCAATCACCGGCTGGGACCCGGTGAGTGACAGCCGCTGCCCCAAATGGCAGTGCGGGTACGGCGCACGCCCCCTACCTGGAAAAGCAAAATCACACACATATACATGATTTTGCGCACATTCTGTGCCTGAAGGTGAAAAAAAACCTTCTGTGTGCAGCAGTGTCCCAAACTCCCTCAATACTTACCTGAGCTTCATCGCGATCCAGCAATGTGAATGACAACCTCGGCAGTCCCGGGGTCTCTGCCTCATTGGCAGAGACAGCGAGTGGGAGCCATTGGCTCCTGCTGCTGTCAATCACAGCCAGTCAGCCAATGAGCATAGGGGGGTGGGGCCAAGCCGGATACACAAAGCAGTAGGTGCCCCCATAGCAAGCTGCTTGCTGTGGGGGCACTCAACAGGAGGGAGGGGCCGGGGACTCTTCGGGGGACCCAAGAAGAGCAGGATCCAGACTGCTCTGTGCAAAACCACTGCACACAGTAGGTAATTATAGTCTTGTTTGTTATTTACCCCCCCCCCCCCCCACACACACAAAAAATTAACCTTTAGAATCGCTTTAAGGTCCTCCTGTAGAAAAAAGTAAAGGTTTTGCGGATATAGAAACCAATGATTTTTGACAGGTTGTTTCCATTGTAGATTACAAAATCAAAGAAGGTGCTACTAACACCTATGCCTTTATTCTAGTTCATTATTACAAATGAAGCCCTATATAAGCAATCTCAGAGATGCTGCTTGCACATTTCTCATGCTGTGCACAAAGGTGGTTATAATCTAGTAATCATGACTACCAGTTGGTTCTTCATGTTCCAGTAATAAATAAACCTCGCTCCCCACCTTCTTCCTAGAGGAGTTCTGATTCTTGTCCTTGTCATTCTTTTCCTTCTCACTGTCTTTCTGTGTGCTGTTCTCCTCATTCTGATCATGATCCCCGCTGTCATCATCTTTCAGTCTGCAACACACACAAGAAAGTTGTTTTCAAATTTATGACTGCAATTTACAATTGTAAGTTATTGATCTCATCACTGCCTCCACAACGTAACCTGATCATCTGATCAATCAAAATACAAGTAACACAGCAGAATACATTCTGGCCTGAATTTATGACAAAAGATTATTTATTTGAAAAAAAATGTCATAAAAGAAAACTAGGAAAATGTGTTTTTTTTTTTTTCACAAAGGAGAAATAGAAGATTCTGCTATTAGCTGAAGGCAGGATAGGCTATTCTTTGTGTCCATACATTTTGCATGGACGCAAATCGCATCACAAAGTATCGGTACTCAGTATTGTCGAGTACTTGACAAAGTATCAGTACTTGTACTCACGGATCAAAAAGGGTATCGGTGCATCCCTAAGGGCTCGTTCACACTAGGCTGTTTTGCCAACGCTTGCCAAACGCCCCTATAGCGTTTGGCAAGCGTTGGTCCGGTGTTTGCGGAGCGTTTTTAACGCTCGGCAAACGCTCCGCAAACGCCGCATGCGCGGTTTAGCAGCGGTTGCTAGGCGTTTGCCGAGCGTTAATAACGCCCCACAAATGCCTATAATGCATTTGAGTGGTGTTACCGCTCCGCAAACGCCCCGCAACCGCGTCGCAACCGCACCGCAAACGCCGCCGCGTTTGCGGTGCGGCACCATAGACGAGAATAGGAGGCTTCAAAGCCTCCTGACTCGACCAGAGGCGTCCGTTTTGCCGCGACGCAAACGCTCCTGTTAGAACAGCACCATGTGCTGTAATGTGCAGAATTGGCAGAGGCGTTTGGGAAGCGGTAAAAACGCTTCCCAAACGCCTCTCTGCTGCCTGCACACAAGGCTAGTGTGAACGTAGCCTTACAAACACCTATCAGCTCCTGTGTGCCAAACTAACATTTCTAGCACTTTCTGGACCCCAGGGAGCTGCATGTGCCACGTACAGCCACCAACACAAGTAAATGGCTGTATGTGGCACTGCTCAGGTAACCATTGTTGGGTCCTACACTGGCCTTTACCCACACATGCAGGTTTGGAGTTTCTTCGTGAACATGGTGCATTTGGGAAGAAGCACTATACGCCCCTGCGAGTGTAATCAGCGATGCAAAAGCCACCAGTGTTTACCTGAGTGCAGCCATGCACTGTACACGGCATGTACACAGCATGCATGGATCCTGCACACCGGAGAGTGGATTGTACACCTCAGCACACAGGAGCTGACAATTGTCTGTGTACAGCAGGCCCAAATCTTTATATACTCAGCATTCCTCTTCTGATCAAACATAAAAAAAGAGTGGACTAGAAACCAATTGTCCCAATAATCTCTATAGGACACGAGAACTCTTCACTACACCCCCTGACAAGTATCATTGATAGAGCTGAGTGCTTGGCGGGTGCAGTGCGGGAAATACCCATCCTCCCATACATTAGAATGAGCCCTGCCATCCCCACCATTGTCTGTATAACAGCCTGAACTCGAGGCAGCTCCATGGCAATGTGACATGTTGTGACTGACTTCCCCACTACAATGCTTGCTTTCCTCTCAGTCTACAGTACTGCGGCCTACACACGGCTCCCACAGCGCGACCTAATGTTTCCGCTCACACCGTGCGCCTTCAATCAGGAAGAAATGTAGGAACACAACGGTGGGGTCTTGAACTCACGCATCAAATTTGTTGTTCATCGTCTCTCTACTCTTCTTCTGGCCTCTTCCGCTTCCAGCACAACATTCCTCTGCACCCCTACCGCCGCTTCCTGGAGAGTGCTAGAACTTTTCTATATATCAGCTGTTTCTACCCGGACACATAAAAAATGATGCACGCCGTAGAAACGTGCCGACCATCTTGACTGTGGGCAAGTTCGCACAGTTCATTGAGACAACACGTGAAAAGTGTGGTAAAGGGCAGAGCTTGGTGCCCGTAGGAACAACTGTTATTTCAGTATGCAGAATACAGTGCAGTATTGAAAATGAAAGGATTCGGATAAGTTTTTATGAGCAACAACATTTCTTTTCAGCCTATGCCACATTCCTAAGAACCCATTAGAGCCTGTTCACAAGCATATGTTAACATTCATCGCAATGCAGTCCTTTTTTTAGTTCTATTATTTTACCGTATACCGCAGCACATCGAGGTACATTGTTAAAAACTCACTACTCAAAAAATGCAACCTGGCCTGTTTTTTTTCAGTGCGCACTAACAAAGCATATTGGTGCAATGTCAGGTTTAGGAGTATATAACAGAGTGAAGGGGTCAGGAGTGTGTAATGGACGGAATGCAGGGGGCAGGAGTGTGTAATGGACGGAATGCAGGGGGCAGGAGTGTGTAATGGACGGAATGCAGGGGGCAGGAGTGTGTAATGGATGGAATGCAGGGGGCAGGAGGGTGTAATGGACAGAATGCAGGGGGCAGGAGTGTGTATTGTGTGTTCCTCCAAAACAAATATTACTACTACCTCCTCACATTCCTCCCTCCCAGCACAAATCCTCTCCCTCCTTTCCCCATCATCCCTCCCAGCACAAATCTACTCCCTCCTTCCCCCATCCTCACTCCTAGCACAAATCCTCTCCCTCCTTCACCCATCCTCCCTCCCAGCACAAATCCTCTCTCTCCTTCCCCCATCCTCTCTTCCAGCACAAATCCTCTCTCCCTCCTTTCCCCATCCTCACTCCCAGCACAAATCCACTCCCTCCTACCCCTATCCTCCCTCCCAGCACAAATCCTCTCCCTTCTTCCCCCATCCTCACTCCTAGCACAAATCCTCTCCCTCCTTCCCCCATCCTCACTCCCAGCACAAATCCTCTCCCTCTTCCCCCATCCTCACTCCCAGCACAAATCCACTCCCTCCTTCCCCTATCCTCCCTCCCAGCACAAATCCTCTCCCTCCTTCCTCCATCCTCACTCCTAGCACAAATCCTCTCCCTTCTTCCCCCGTCCTCACTCCCAGCACAAAACCTCTCCCTCCATCCCCTGTCCTCACTCCCAGCACAAATCCTCTCCCTCCTTCCCCCATCCTCCCTCCCAGCACAAATCCTCTCCCTCCTTTTCCCCATCCCCTTTCCAGCAGTAATCCTCTTTCCCTCCCCAGCATAAACACTCACTCAACTCCCCCCAATACAAATCCTTCCCCCCCAAATTCTAGCTTGTAGTACAAATCATCTCCCCCTTCTAGCACAAGTTCAGTGAGCACAATTTAAGGAGTGGGAAATTTGTGCATCATGAAGGGGATTGTTTGGGGAAGGAGGAATTTTAGTTTGGGGTGCACTCTGGGATTTACTTACCTTTGGCCTCTACACTCTGCATGTTATACACTCCTGACCCAGAGCAAAGTATGTTAAGGCGGTATTAAGTCATAGCACTTTAAGCCACTCTCACACTGTTAGCACAATTTGGCCACAACCAACATTAGATGTAACATTCTCTGCATGCCGTTAGTATCCCCACCACTGTTCTACCCCCCAATAAAAGTAAAGTCAGTAGAATGTCCCTGGATTTCATTTTGAAAATCTGGCCAACCTACGTTATACAGCTGTAGACTTACTTTACATTTTAGTAGCAAAGCTTGAAATAGGTATGCTTTAATGAATATCATGCTTCAGGGCCAACGGACGTCATTTTTACATATTTTTTTGTGTTGTATCTCTCTTTTATTTTGCAGAAACCTGTATAGCTGCATTATTATGACATGCTCAGGTATCACCTTGCTTGGCATAGGATTATGAAAGAAAATACATTCTACTGCTTTTCACATGTATAGCCATGTGATGGCACTGTCACCCTACTCATTCTCTGTACCTGTATAATTTGTTCTTTCTCAATTTTATTATAAAATGTACAATCATTTCTAATTATGAATAATGTTTACCATAATTGTCTAAGTGCAGGTCACCTTACATCAGCATTACATTATCAGTGTGATCTAATGTCGTCTTTCTCAGCCTTTTCACCACAGTGAAATAAGTTTCTGGTTTCAGGGAACCCCTGCTTTTAATTACTATATTTACAACTAATGGTACATTAGTATGAGCAGTATGTTAATATATGAGACATGTCAAGGAATAATGTTATGTTCTTAGCATATTTAACACCCAGGACAGCTGTGTATGACAACATTTTTTTCAGGAATGATAATCAACTGAAAGGAATAATAATAAAGACCAGAAAAGGAAAGATGGTCAGGAAAAAAGTATAATCTTACATTGGTGATCAGTGAAATGCTCCCTTACATCAGTGGTATACAGCATGGGATAAGTACCCCCTTAGATTGGTGGTCAGTGGGGGAAGTGTCCCCTTACACAGTGGGATAAGGTCCCCATTACACTGGTGGTTACTGTTAGAAAGAAACCATTACATTGGCGGCCCCTGGGAAGAATGCTCTTTACATTAAAGGTCAATGAGAAGAATACTCCTTACATTAGTGGTCAGTGAGAAGAATGCTTCTTACTTTGGTGGTCAGAGGGAACAATGCTCCTTACATTGGTGTTCATTGAAAATAATTTTCCTTATCTTGGTGGTCAGTAGGAAGAATGCTCCTTATACTGGTAGTCTGTGAGAAGAATGTTCCTTACACAGAAGGTTAGTGAGAAGAATGTTCCCTTAAGTGGTCAGGTAGAAGAAAACCTCTTACATCAGTGGTCAGTGAGAGGAATGCTCCCTACATTTGTGGTCAGTGAGAAATATGGTGCTTACCATGGTGGTTGGTGAGAAGATTGCTCCTTATACTGGTGGTCAGGAGGAAGAATGCTCCTTATACTGGTGGTCAGGAGGAAGAATGCTCCTTACAAAGGTGGTCAGTGAGAAGAATGCTCCTTACATTGGTGGTCAGGGGGAAGAATGATCCTTACATTGGTGGTCAGTGGGTAGAATGCTTCTTACATTGGTGGTCAGTGGGTAGAATGCTTTTTACATTGGTGGTCAGTGCAAAGAATGCTACCTAAATTGGTGGTCAGAAGAATGCTCCTTACTTATGTGCTCAGTGAGAAAAATGCTTCTTACATTGGTGGTCAGTAAGAGAAATGCTTCTTACATTGATCATCAATGAGAAGAATCATTCTTACATTGGTGGTCAGTGCAAAGAATGCTCTTTACATTGGTGGTCAGTGAAAAGATTGCTCCTTACATTGCTGGTCAATAGAAGAATGCTCCTTACATTGGTGGTCAATGTGAAGACTGCCTTATATTGGTGGTCAGTGAGAAGTTGGCTTTTTACATTGGTGGTCAGTGAGAAGATTGCTCCTTACATTGGTGGTCAGTAGGAAGAATGATCCTTACATTGGTGGTCAGTGGGTAGAATGCTTCTTACATTGGTAGTCAGTGCAAAGAATGCTACCTAAATTGATGGTCAGAAGAATGCTCCTTACTCATGTGCTCAGTGAGAAGAATGCTTCTTACATTGGTGGTCAGTAAGAGAAATGCTTCTTACATTGATCATCAATGAGAAGAATCATTCTTACATTGGTGGTCAGTGCAAAGAATGCTCTTTACATTGGTGGTCAGTGAAAAGATTGCTCCTTACATTGGTGGTCAGTAGGAAGAATGCTCCTTACATTGGTGGTCAGTGTGAAGACTGCTTCTTATATTGGTGGTCAGTGAGAAGTTGGCTTTTTACATTGGCGGTCAGTGAGAAGATTGCTCCTTACATTGGTGGTCAGTAAGAAGAATGTTCCTTACATTGGTGGTCAGTGAAAAAGATGCTTCTTTCATTGGTGGTCAAGGGGAAGAACTCTCCTTACATTGGTGGATAGTGAGAAGAATGCTCCTTCCATTGGTGGTCAGTAAGAAGATTGCTCCCTTCAATGGTGGTCAGTAAGAAAATTGCTCCTTACATTGGTGGTCAGTAGGAAGAATGTTCCTTACATTGGTGGATAGTGTGAAGAATGCTCCTTACATTGTTTAGTTGGAAGAACGCTCCCTATATTAGTGGTCAGAAAAAGAATGCTTCTTACATTGATGGTTGCTGGGAAGAATGCCCCTTTACAGATACCTAAAAATATTTTTGGAGTCTGGGGTTACTTATCTGAATGACAGGAATTTCTCATTTCTCTAAGAATCCCTAGCAACCTCTGGAGGAACCCTAAGTGAAGAAGGCTGCTCTAATGCATAGACATTTTGTCTAAATAAACTATTATATTTGTAAAGAAAACACAAATATTAGCTCAGTTAATTGTTCCACAGTATATCATTTTCTTGTATACACTTTAGTATATACTTGTATCAGCACCCTATGAACACATCAGAAGAACCCCTGGCATACACAACACAATCCATTCAATTTGTACACTAAAAAGTGAAGCCCTTATGCTACATGTTGGAAAATCAGGCAGGCCATATATACTTAATTTTTTTCCTTTAACCAGTGCTGAGCTATTGTATTCTGCTGGCGGGGAACTTTACCCGCCAGCAGAATATGATGATCAGTGTTGCCAGCTACAGCCAGCAGGACTGATTGTTCTGGAAACCCCAACAGTCTGGTTGTACACAAGTCAATTGTCAGATAGTTCTGCTGAACCAGATGAATTTCGATCCATGTATGGCTGGCTCACTGGCTATTCCTCATATGTAGAGTTAACAAGGTTCACACTAAAATGCGGTGCAGGAAACCCACGTTCTGTGCACGTTTCGCACAACATGTTCAAATTGCACTGCAGTTGCGATCTGCAGCAGGTGTCAATGGTAACTCAATAAC